ATATTTATTTCTATTGTGTACTGCGTAACAAATTTACGGGTGCCGAAACCACTTCTGTTCTTTCTCTTTTCTGCGCAATAACTATTTCTAAACGAGGTCTCGTTCGTCTTTGGGAACGTGATCGGCTCTTTATACCATCGTCTTACTTACGAGGCGGATAACGGTAACGCAGCCCTCGTTAAAATCGTAAATTAAAACGTAAACAAGACAATGGCACTCTTCTCTGGCGAATTACACAATGTTTACACGAGTCGTAGAATTTCCTTGTTCCCGATTATCATCGGAATTTCTAAATTGTTCGAGTGGGCGTAAATCCCGGTTATTTTCAGCACCGCGTTTACGCTATTTACGCTTCTTTTGCATTATTCCGGGTAATCTTCCGTTAAGCCCAATGCGAAATTCCGGAAATAGGTAACGTCGGAGGGTTGCAATCTAAATATACCATCGAGCGTGTACGTCGATGGTAACCGCGAAGGGTTGAAAATTCAGGGTTGAAATTCAGGGTTGGAGCGTATCTAAAAATACATAAGCCGAGGAGTGACTCGATTCGAACTGCTGTTTAACCGCTCGATAGGGGGGGGGGGAAATAACGATTCTACGCCAATGGCACGAAAGCCGATTAATTAAGAAAACGCGAGATAGTCCTATCCTCCTTGTGTACCAGTCTCCTTAGGTGGATATCGAGTCGCGTTTTCTCTCAACTTTCATCGGCGGCGTAATCCGCGACGATTTATTTTGCATCGAGGCAGCTTTACGCGTGGAAAGAAGCCCGTTATAATTAATCCTTTCTCTACTCTCCCTCCTCCTTCATCCAAAGAGGACAATCGCCCGGGCTGAAACAATACCTGAAATCCTCCGCGTTCGAGAGGCGAAAAGGAGAAAATTTCCGCATTGTTTTTTCGCGAGATCGTTAGGAGGCTGCCGATCCCCCTCGATTCGATTTGCCAGGTTTTTAAAAAAAGAAAGTCAGCCGAAGCCGGCTCGGCCAGTCACCTCGTTTATCGCCTCTTGAAAAGGCGCAAGGCCGCGAAGGGACCTCGATATCTCGATTGAACCGAGCTTTCTTCCACGTTTCGAAATCGTGGCGCGCGACCGGTTTCTCGCCACGGTCAGATGTCTTCCTAAAGCGGTCGCGTTATTGTTCGTCAAAACCATTCGCACCGCGTGACGAGATCATCTTCTCGCCGGAAAATTTTCGAAACGTTTCGTCGCTGTATCCTCGATCGAGAAGAATGGAGGGAGGGATCGTTCGTTCGAAATGATGAAAAATGAAAGTTTTATTGGAAGTGGTGGACGTAATATTAAGTATAATTTATGAAACTCGCGCGAAACAAACAGAGTGATTCATAATTACATGTAACACTCCGGTTATCTTCGCTTTACGAGTTTGCAACGATCGCAAGAAAGCGGCCGATGCATTATGCATCAGGCTCGCGCGCGTCATCATCGACTATTTCGCCATTTTATCTTTCCAGATATGATATCCGGCTGGAATATTATCTCGAAATCGAGTCGAGATTCGATCTTTTTATTCGACGAAATAAAATATGAAAAATCGAAATATAGTACGTACAAGAGTCGAAAAATCGAGTTTCTACGCGTTGGAAGCCGAACGTGGGAAATCGGTCGATTTCCAACATTCCGCTCCGGTTCAATTGTGGAATGATTAATAAAATGATAATTCGAATCGATCGATTTCTGCGCACGGCCTGTTTCGTAATATATTCGCGATCGGTTATGGAAACACGAAGTTGAGCGAAACTTGCTGCCTTAGTATTATCTAAGAATTATTTTCATTGCGACGCCGATGCTCAAATGCAACATCGTTACACGGAGGGTGAGAGGGAGGGGGAGAAAGTTGGACATTTGGAATGATCAACGCGCCGGTAAGAGGAGCTCGTTTCAACGATAATTTTCCCGTTCTACTACGAATGCTTTCTCTCTCTCTCTCTCTCTCTCCCTTTCCTCGCGGAGCGGACACACGTCGGGGAGGAGAAAGTGTAACTGTTCAAGTAATAGTGACGATGCAGGTGTAATCCGGATTGCGCGTGCGAATGTTTTAGATAGCGTGTGCGCCTGCATTTCAATTGCCCGCGTGCGCAGCCCCCCACCCTTCTCTAAAACAGCGACGCCGGATGGACGCGCATGCGCGGACTTCACTTCGCACTCGAAACGCGATGAAATCGCCCGATGTAGATTAACGCGAAAGGCAAAGGAAAAAATACGAAGGATAATCTTTCCTTCTTTCTCCGAATCCGAAAAAGATTCGAATTCGACGTTTCGTATTGAGAATATTTCGATCATTTAGTTTTATTCGTGCGCGAAGAAAACGGTGTCTAACTAGAAATTCCATTTTATTTCGATGCGGAGAAAGATATTTCAACACTTTTTTTATAATATAACGAGGCTGGAAAGATAATAAAAAGAAGGCAGGAAAGATAATAAAAAGAAGGCAGGAAAGAATCGTCGGACGCTTAGTCACCTGGATACGAAAGGGGGGAAAGTCGCTCATGTAGATAATCTTCCAATTATTCTCCGTTTTCTGCGGTGGAAAAATAATACGGCGAGTAAATGGTTTTCTTTTGCGAGCAGGCCGTAACTAAGAGGCGAACGATTGGTTGTATACAACGGGTGATTAGCGACATTTGCGTCACTACGTGAATCAGCCATGGCGGATTATTAATAATAACGAAACGGTATTTGGCCGTGTTACATTATTCGCGATGACGCGATACCGTACGCGATATTCGTGGATAACGTGATATTTGTATCGCGGAGAATTTCCAACCATCGGATATCCCCATCGCGTGGATATAACGTTCTCGTTAACCAAAAGATTGCGTTCCTCGCAGTTTTGATTCGTCGCAAGAATCGTCCTCCTTTCTGCAACGCGAGCAATCCACGCGAAACTCTGCGTAGAATCAATCCAGCGGGATATCTAATTCGATTCCCGAGCGAATTTCACGGGTGTCGTTTATTAGCGACGTAGTGTTAATTAATTGGCTTTGCGCGGCGCCGTTGTTATCGAATTAAACGTTGGCCCACGTCCCCGTGTAATCGAATCGTTCCGTCTATAATATCCGGATATTGTCGTTTTAATCCGTGAATCGAACGCAAATTGAATGGAATGACATCTGCAAAAAAAAAAAAAAA